ATTTTTAGTTCCAATTTGATGACATTTAATTTGTTAATATCTATCGCCCCGTCATTGGTTAAAATCGGACCGTTAGTTAATAAGATAAATTGGATAGCTGAATAACGCGTATTGGTCGTCGAAGCACTCGGCTATAGTCGAGTGTTCTCTCTTGTTTTGTTTTTAATCCAAAGGTATATTTACCCAGTGAATTAAAAAATGTCTACAATTCTTTTCGAATATTCTATTCATGAGTAATATATTACTTAGTAGGTTTTTGACAGGGTCTGAACAAAATCTGTCAACAATAAGTTGTCTATTTCAAAAGATGTTCTGCGTAGCTTTGGTTTTCCTGAGGCAGCCGATGATATCATAAACCAAATGTGCTGCCAGTTGTGTTCCCCAAAGCTGCAGCCTTAAATTGACTAATCGCCTTTAGCCGTAAACACAACAAACTTATGCCCCAATGACCAAAAGATCAATGCCAAGCCAATTAATTTTCGAAGTGGACAATCAAAGTGACGCCAACGCACCACTAGAACTAATAAAAAACATTTACAAAAAAAAGAAAACAAAATTATCGCACAACACTGTTTCAAAATTAAAAACCAAAAATTCTAGATAATATTATTTTATTAATTAAAAAATAATTTTTAAATTATAATCAAAAAAAACCACCAAACAATTTTAAAGTTGCAATTTGTCTATAAAGTATAGCTACAAGTATGAGGTACAAGTTCAAGAAAAATTTGATTTATAAATGAAATTAAATTTACTGAGGTCACTTGAGGTTCCATTGCTAAAAATAAAAATAGATTTCTTTGATTTCCACAGGCATCGAACGATTTCTTCTGTACAAACAATAATAGTATTTTAGACCTAATCTTATAGGGGCTTATGTTTCTACATGACCTGGTCAAATTTTTCTCATCGCTTTCATCTTCAATCAAAATTAAAAATAAATAAGTTTCATAAATAGACCTTATGCAACTGCGATAGGTATGTAAAAATGTAGATAAATCCATTCAAATATTTGAGTACCGAAAGTGTTGATTATTGTTTATATGCACATATGTGCTCTGATGTGTTTAAATATTAGCAAAATAGTGAGTAGTGAAACCACCCAAACGTGTCAAATCACCACACACGCAAATTCCGAAACGGAAACAGGAATACGCAAAACAAAAACATACTCGATTAACCAACAACAAAATAAATATAAAATTATATAAAATTTAAAAAAACTGGTGGCGAATTATAGCTCCAAACATATTTTTTCTTATTCGAAGATTGTTATTATGATAACAATTTTGGTGTTGTTATATTTCTAAAAGTGACATAGACAGATTCAAACAAAGCAAAGTCCAAAAAACTGTGCAAAGTGAAGTCATCTACCGTAAAAATAAAACAACTTAAAATTCAAATTAAAATGTTTTGCATTAAACCTTTTGAATTGGACAAATTATTTATATTTTGGTTTGTTTTTACTTGCGTTTTCGTTGGAGAATTCAAAATAGAACCAAATGAAGTCATAGACCGAAAAAATAAATTACCAAATCAATTAAAGTCAAATTTTAATGACTCACAAACATCAATAGTGATGTTCCGCTATTAGAGGCTTGTAATTGGTGGCTAGACTTTTCTTGGGAAAGCTGTGCATACCTTCAAGATCTGCCGAAGGTCGGGTACTGCGGAAAGGATTCACTCTTCGGGGCTGCGAATTTGGCCACCATCGCTGCAGCCAACTGGGCGTATAGTTCCGATACCAATAGCTCATGTTTGGCTTGGCTAATACGATTCGGTTAACAAAGAAGACCGCTCTAAGCCACAATTTATGTGTTACGGTAAGCACAAGACGTAGCACCGGTAATAGCGACAAAAGAAGAATAAAGCTAACGGAAACTGCGCTTTAAGGTATCTTTTTTCTGGATCCGCTTGTAGATCTTTCGATGTGAACACCGCAACGCTTTGAACTAAACTGATCGGAAATTGTATGGGCCTGATAGTTTCGACTGTGATGCGTGCGTCGCTCTCCATCTCTCTTTGATTCTCTGGGATTCTCTCTTTTAGTTCTGCTGGGTTATTATTAATTATGGACGGGAAGCTGGGCTTCAGGGCAACTCCGATGGACCTGTTGTGGCTAAGAAGCTGTTGGATTTTTCAAGCGACTACGTCATCGTTCACCGGCAACATATTGATCAAGATGGTCATTAAGTGAGCAGAGAGTGTTCTCCAGATCGATTCTTCAAGCAAAAACCCATCATCAATTTGCAATGGCAGTTTAAGGATCGCTTTTATTAATCATTTTATTGTTGTGTACATACAATATTTTTGGAAGAACAAACTGTTAAAGCTCTCTGTCAGTTAGCAGCTGTTTCGTGCTTTGTTTATTTTAATTCAATTTTCAAAATTGCAGGTATAAATGAATAATTGGAGGGAAAAACTGTGGGCAGCACAGCTATGAGTGTTTAACACCCACGGCAACAAATTTGCATGCACAAAAGGCAATAACTATAGAACAAAATGCATAATTGCTTGATTACGTGTCATACACTACAAAGTAAATCAATTTTAAACGTTCGTACGCGAAAAACAAAGATCTAATCTAATTTAACGGCAGTATAAATGAATTTAAAAAATGTATAAAAAACATTGAAATCAAGTGAAATATGCCGGTGTTAAAATGTTTACGTAAACTTAATTTTTGGCTTTTTAATAGGTATTTTAAATAATTAAAATGTGAGAGGAAGTCTTTGTTCCACAAATATAAAAATGCCAAACTTTGTTTAGAATGCCAAAGAGTATAGGTCTTTTAACTTAACAATGTGGCTGAGAAAATTATGCAGTTAAGCTTTTGACAAACTATTAAGGTACTACCGTGTTATACATCCTAATAGTGGATTTTCGGAACTTATGTATGTCAATAAGAGTATTGAGTAAGAATATACTTTTGAAATGTGAGTCAGTTTTTATAATTTTTCTATTCCCCACCAACAATTACTATTATTTATACACAAACGATTAATGAATTCTAACTTGATGTAGCTTATTTGGTTATATTCATTTACCTGTTTCGTCGTTTTTTGGAGCACCTGCTAAATAATTGGCATTGACATTGCGTATACGCAACGTTCGGTCGTCTTTTCCTTGGTTTCTGCACCATTCCCATTCATCGCAGTTTTTGCAACACGAAAGCTTATGACCCATGTCTGTGGCCAGGTATTTGAAATATCCAAGTGCGGGCGTAGTCTGGCTTTATCTGTTGGGTAAACCGGTTCGCCTGTCAATGATAAGCCGTAGTTTGTTGATTTTCTGATGAATTTGTAGGAGTGGTTTTTGAACTTCGGAATATTGCTGCCGCACTAGAACCCGACGTTTGCGATGCCCCGAATTAAGTGGCGTGCCATTTTGGTCAAACTACCCGCGGAATGCAAAACTGAGACAGTTTAAACTGTAGCAGCTGGGATCACGTCATCGCCGTCAACGGAGGGGAATCAAAGCGGACTAGAACGCTCCAACATTCGAACGATACTGATTAGGCCTGCTCTCGGTCGAACCGATCGACCGTCTTCCCCGAAGTGTTCACATTTTACATACCGCATGCCTGGTGACCCCAGTGTCAACTAATCGGCAGCCTCGGGTGTCCAAAAACCAGACATGCGTGCGTAAATTGATCAGCTTTAATGGCATCAACCACTTAGAATAGGTCCAAGTGAATTATTATTGACTTTGATTGCTACTTGTAACTGATTGGCTCAGGTATAGAAGGTGCTAAAGGGGCGCGACTGGCATTAAATCTTTTTGATTTCTGTCATCGAGAACTTTAATAGCCGTGTTCTGGTGATGCTAAGGTTCTTGGAAACTACACCTTGAGGAATATAAAAAATGGACAGCTTGATGATTTTACTTGTATACACTAAGAACATGAAATGAACTTAACAAGATGACCCTAGTCCTTATATTTATGGCAAAATTAAATTAAATAACACAAGGAAATATATGGAAAGGAAATCTCATATTTTGTCTACGGTCTTGCACTTTATTTTTGCTACAACATTAAAATTTATTAATAAATATATTATATAATTTATTTGTAAATATCAAAACTAGAACTAACGTACGGTTGAGTGGCCCGACTATCAGATACCCGTCACTCTAGCCTTTGACTTTGCAACTAACGTTAATGTATCTTTTCAACTTTCTTAATAATACACCGATTTGAAAGAATTACGGTATTTGGATACATCTAAAACTTGCGTTGCCAAGGTATTACTAGAGGGTAGATCTTATAGATGGCAAGTTCTGGACGTTCACTCGGAGCGACATGCTCAGATGGACTATGTACATATGTATATACTTCAAATGATAGGAAATATGTTCTTCTACTTCTTACACGTTTATCAATTAACGGACTAGCTCTTTTACTTCGACGGTTTATAAACATTTTTTTAAAGTGCTTTCTGTCAATGCGAAATTTAAAGGTTTCTTGCGTAACGGTCAGTTACTTGGAAACTATGCATTACTAATATTTGGGGAAACTTCTTGTGAAAATAAGTATTGCCATATGACTGGTTTGATTAATGATCGGAGCTATAATCATTTGGTGATGTTAAAACAAAGAAATGGCAACCGCCATAAATAAAAAAAAACCAGAAAACAATTTGCTGGAAAAGGTCCTTATTATCTCATAATTTCCCATTCTTTGTAATTGAATCTCCAATATGAATCATTTAAATAATTCATCACCACATTTCCCGAACATTTTAATCATTTGATGTATCTCTTGTTCTACATTTTTTGAAAAGAAAACTGAACAGGCTTTAACAGCTTTTTGGAATCGTCGATAAAAACGCAAAAATGAGTAAGTGCTATCGAGAGATTGTTGAAACTTATAGAAGGTGTCTGTATAAGAGTAGAAAACATTTGATCTGTGACGTCAGGTCAGTCTCTTAAGTTAAAAAAGATAAACCTACGCAATGAGATTAGAGAAATGTGTTCATGTACGTATAAAACAGCGGCGATTTTCAGTATCATTTCGTTAAAGTCTCAGCAACAAGTTCAATGGGATTTAAATCGCTACAAATTGCTCGCGATCAGTGGGGAACGCTGAGAGACTTATATGCCAGTGATCGGACAAATCTCACGGGTTTCGACCTAATCGAATACTTTATGAATTACAAACCTTCATCCAATGCCGAGGCAATTGAGATATATTCGACCGATAAGGATTGGACTACACATGGCAGCTATATACTTGTTGTAAACGCTTATTTCTAGCTATACTACGGATTTGTGATTTTAAGTGAGATCTTGATTTCAGCATTGTTTAGATAGCAAGGCTTACATTTACCTTAACACGGTCAAAGGTCTTCTAGAAGATCTAAAGTCGTTGTTGTGCTCCCTAAATTTGAAAGTATTCCATTTGATCTGTGGCTATGAAGAACGTTTAAAGCCACTAGTTGAGAACTATTGGTTGCAGTTGGGTCAAGACTTGAGTGAACTTGAACATCAGCCAGCTATAGTTTATCACCTACCAAGCGCCAAAGTTCCCCGTTGGACACCAAGGTGGGATACAAATTTAAGATAAATAAATTTTATGCATTTTTCATCCTTTAGATTAGATGTCTCGAATAAAGTTGGTTGTCTCAGTTCAAAATATGCTGACTTGGTCGATAAAAACTGGACTTATCGCTCAGTAGATTCTATACGTTTTATTCGAGGAATTATGGAGAACAATGTTGCGGCTGGCGTTTTTGATAACAATGGAGAACCCTTAGCTTGGTGTCTTAGGTGACAAAAAAGATTCTATCTCTCATTACTTTTTGTTGTATATTATCCTGTATTTTTACAGATCTCCCAATGGCAGCTTGAGCAACCTGCATGTTTTATCTTCACATCGTCGGAAAGGATTAGGATCTTTGGCAGTGGGCTTTATGGCATACAAGATTAAATCCACAGGATCGGAAGTTCTGACCACCGTTGTGCCCGAAAATCGGCATTCCCAAAAGATGTTTGAGAAATTGGGCTTTAAGCCCATCAATAAACTTTTCTGGGCAGTGGTGCCATCCCCTTTTTAAGTAAAACAATACAAGAAACAAAAGATTCTTATCAATTTTTAACACTTTACACTAATCTAGAAATCAAACGGAATTTATTGTTACAGAGAAAATTCCGATTATTTGCTTTTATTTACCTCGTAATCGTATTTCGTAAATATATGTTTTCTATCTCTCTCTTCAATGCCATTTCTCTTAAATGCCATTTCTCATTACTTCAGAACACAGCAATGTATTTCTCTTGGTTCGTTCTATTTCGCAAATCAGTCTTCGATCGGCTTTTGGAAAGAGAGGTAGTCTTCATGTCAGAGGAGAATTCATTGATTGAAATTCCCCGCAGCGATTGGACTAAGCTGCGGGATTTGTATGTCCACAAAGATACCGATCCCCAAGGCTATTTGTGCATAAATAATTTCATCAAGTGGGTGGAAAAAAATCAGGATCTGAAAGTAACATTCTTATCATTAAATGGGGACTGGCAAAACGATGGAACTTTTGTTTTAACTGTAAGTAATGCGATACAGATTTAGTTTATTTGTTAATTTTGCCCAAATCTAGGTAGATATCGGAACACCTCTTAAGCACCTATACTTTAACACTCTTGGCGATAACTTGGATCGTGCCATAAAAGCCCTAGAATGCCTTGATTCCTTTGAGAAAAAATATACCTTTTATGGATTTTGTTCTCGACTAAAGCCGGCAGTAGAGCATATTGGCAGGAAATATTACACCAACAAAGATCCATTTATTGTTGAAACCATTTGGTATAGTGCAAGCAAGGAAGTTATAGATACTTTTGCTATTGAGTAAGTTTATTTTTGTATTCTAGCTTACCAGTTTCATAAACAAATTTAATCCAGGGCCCCTTCTGGCATTACTCTCTTGAACTTGGCTCTGGAAGATGCAGAAACCATTAATGAAATCTGGCCCCATCGAGCACCCGGCTCAGTAAACTTTGTTAGAAGTTTAATAAAGTATAACGTAAATCTAGGGGCTTATGATGACAACGGAAAATTGGTTGCCTGGTGTTTGAGGTAAGTTACCGAAATATATTTATAATACCTCTGTTTTAATATTTTCCATTATCCATTTAGATTGCCGATTGGGTCTTTGGGTCTGTTGCAGGTTTTGGAATCACATAAACGTCTGGGTCTGGGCAGCTTGCTGGTGAAATCTATGGCGAAGAAGATATCCGCACTAGGAGATCAAGTTGTGGCCCCAGTGGTCACACAAAACACGGCCTCGAGGAGCATGTTTGAGAAAATTGGTTTCCAAGCCATAGACACAACCTATTGGGCTGATTGACAATATTAAACCAAATTGCGTAGACATGTACGTCTAAAGAAAAAAGTTCACTTATTAAATTACAAATAAATTTATTAAACATTCTAAAAGTAGTAAAAAAAGTGTCCCAGTGTTTCGATTAAGTACATTTAAAAAGTGTATTTCTTTAGTTCGGGTATAATCATTGCTCGTCACAAAAATTGTTGAAGGTTCGATCGTCACTATTTTTTTTACCTTGTCAAAAAGTGCTTATAGTTGAGGTTATAACTTTAGTACGAGAGAAAACGCTATAGTCGACGCCCTCGACTATCAGATACCCGTTACTCAACTAAAGGGAGTGCTAGATTGCAGACCACCCAAAAGCGCCACCGTTTATTCCCAACTTCTGTTTTGAGATTTCACCTAGACTCCACTATAGGAATGAAAGCTGGTTGGAGTGTTAGTATAATCTCGTAAACAGCCGATTTGCTGTATGACTATCTCATCATCTCCCTCGCACTTTATTGAATTTGCTAGTTATTTATTGTTATTTGGATATAACTTTTTAATAAATGGACCGATATTAATAATCTTTGGCATGCAGATAGCTATTAATAATAAGAACAAAATCTCATTTAAATGTTTACAAAATATTAAATCAATATAATATTATGTGGGCGCTAGACGGATTTTAGCGATATGGTCGTTTTTGGGTGTTTGAGTGGGCGTGGCACCCTGCTGAAACATACTTGCGCTGCGCAGGAAGATCAAGAATCTGCATGATAATCTCAACATTCTGCTCTTTTAGTTTTCGAGCTCTTTCATAGACGGAAAGTGGGACATGGCTAGATCGACTCGACTAGTTATCCTGATCGAGAATATATATTCTTTATTGGGTCGGAAACGGTTGCTTCTACCTGTTACATACTTTCCGTCGAACCTAGTATACCCCTTCACTCTACAAGAAGTTAGGAGTGGGTGTTGAGATATATATCAGGTCTACAGCTTTAGGGTTTCAGTAGCCATGGACGTCGACGTTGATGTTTTTACACTTAACTGTTGTAATTCAAATGAGTTCATGACCCTTAAACAGACCCTTAAAACTAAATTCTCACGCAGGGATGGCTGTTCTGAACTGATAAAAGTCAGCCTTATGAGCACTGTGATTTCAGATACTATAAAGGCTAGAATTTTGGAAAGAGGCATGCAGATCAAAGAGGCGCAAATTTATTTCAACAATCAAATTACAAACAATACGGAACATTTTTAGAACGTTCGCACTGGAAAGATCTTAAATTGACCACAATTTGGATTTTAATAACGATCAACTCAAAAAATGGTTTTATCTGCACGAAATGTGAGGAACTACAGGGGCGATATGTGTGATTGGTATATTCTGTGTATGTCGAATTTATTTATTGTGTTGAATTTACTTTACATTATGGCGTCGCAAAAACATATTTTTTGAGATTTAATATTTTTATAACAACTTTGTCATTAAATTATACATTATGGTAGCTGCTTAGTCATTAGGCTGATCGAATTGCAGTTTTATAAATAATTCAATTCAATTTATAAAAAGTGTGTCACTAACAATCGCGTGAGAATTGCAATTCCTAGGTTTATTTGCTCAGTTTATCAAGGGAGACAGCCGTGGTAAACAACAATATGTTACATAACTTAAAATTCATTACATTTGACGAAATAAAGAAAAAATGACTATATAAAGAATATTATTCAGTGTGATCTTCAAATATATTAATTTTAAAAGGGTGTTATTCACCTTTCTTTTGTAATTCAAAATTATAGTCACGTTGAATTTTTTTATATTCTTACCGAAACGTGTGATACAATCTTTCTTTGTTTCCATGTTGCTAAAGCCTTCCGAAATACATTTCCGGGTGATATTTCCTTTTTTTTTCGCTGTCTTGTTATATTTTTTTAGAAAACCATTTATTTTGTTTTATCAGGTATATCAATCTTAACAATTAATTCAGTAATTAATTGAAACTTGTAAAATATCGTGATGCTAATCTCAAAAAAAAAACACAATTTTTTAACAAAGCAAAATTAGGTTGTTCCCATTATTAAGTCATAGCTCATTAGTTAAATTACTTATCATTCCCAAGTAGTTTAAAATGCTAAGCGGGCCTATTTTGAATTTACTACCGGTACGTGAAATGGCTTTTTCTATCGATGTTAAAACCCATTTGAATGAAAATCTTATGAACCAGAATTGTGCTCATCCTATCCTAGCGCTGGGAAATTTCTATTTTTATCACGGTGTCAATGCAACAACAACAAAAATGGTAAAATATCACGATGATTATCCCAAAAATCACACTTTGTTCAACAAAGCAACCCTTTATAAATCTATTCTCATGTCATACCTACCCGTTAGTTAGATATTCTTGGGTATCGCTCAAAGGGCAAATTACTCATCATTCCCTAGTAGTTTATAATGCAAAATGGGCTAATTTTGAATTTACTTCCGGTACGTGGGATGTCTTTTTATATCGATATTAAAACTTATTTGCATGAAGTTCTATGGCCCAGCATTGTGCTCATCTTATCCTAGCGCTGGTAAACTCCCAGCTTTATAACAGTGCCAGTGTGAGCGAACTTTCCAATGACAAAGCAGCAAACACGCATCTAACATAAATGGTGTAGTATAGCTTGTAAATTATTTAAAATATTTACTCACCGGGTGCGAGAGAATATTAGAGGGGCCGCGAGAATTTTAGTATGTTCGTCACGGGCCAAAATATACACATAGACGGAGAGAGCTTAAATGGGTTTCCGCCATTAAGTTCGCAGAATATTGAAAGGGGCAGTACATGAACACAGAAAGTACCGATCGATGAGATCAATAACAAGTGCAGAAATCGGATGCCAATCCATGTAAACAAACTCAGGGTATAACCAGTGACTCGACGTCAGCGAAAAGCTCCCCGAGATCAGCTGAGAATAAAGAGCGGAGCTTGAGAGACCGGGGCTTGAAGGAGTGTGTTGTATTTGCCTGATAACGAGTTTCCGATTCCAGTTTTATAAAGATTCGCGCTGAGCGCCACCAGCTCAGTCTGGCTCTAAAACTCGAACAGCCACATCGCGTTAAACCGTAACCGTTGAAAACCCAATATATATACCCCCATATATATATATCGAAACCTATATATAGTTAGTTCTGTGTGCGCTCAAGATTAAAATTACAAAATGTGGCGCTTGCTTTTGGCACTTTTAATGATGAGTGCGGTGTGCTGTGAGTCGGAGCTTTTTCGAGATCACCTGAGAACTCCGGAAGCGGTGGCCACCATTAACGGACTAAAAAAAGGAATGCAGGTTCCGCAGCAGCAGCAGGAACCGCAGCACATCCAGTCGATTCCCCTGCCAACGGTTCCAACTCTACCGCCCCTGCAATCGCCCGGCCTTGTAAATGGCCTTGCCACAAAAAGCGACCCCAGTTCGCTTAAAAAGCCGCTTCCGGCTGCCTATTCATCCACCTACGTCGACCTGCCGATCTCCGATCAGATTGCGAAAAGTGTGTTTAATTTCGCAAATTATCTGGGACAGCACTTGGGCTATAAGAAAACGGAGATATTCTCTCCTTTGAGCATTGTCAACTCCCTGGCCCTACTACTGCTGGGCGCCAGGGGTCGCAGTTACCAAGAGCTATCCGCAGTCTTCGGAATATCGGACACATCCCGGCTGCATGAGCAGTTCGGCATAATGCTGCAGGACCTACTTCAACCCACCAGAGAGGGAATTTCCCCAGGACGACCCCTAACAAACTGGCGAGCCAGCAGCCCTATGAGGTCGAATCGACGGGCCCAGAGACCGGGAGCCCACGAGGTGCATTTGGCAAACGGACTGTTCACACAGACCGGCTACTCACTCAACCCCGACTACAGGTGAGCGTCACTGCGGATAATTGACTGCAAACTGGATCTCAAGCGAGATCAGGTTGGGGATGGGCGCTGGGAAATGCCAGACGATTAGCGACCGCCTTGAGGTATTACACGGAGCAAAATCTCAAGCCTTTCCTCCTTTTTTTTTTTAAAGTCTCCTTCCTTTTAAAGATCGAGACTTGAAGAGATTTGAAAAGGTTTTTTATATTTTATTGAAGGGATTAGTCGTTAGCCTTTTAAGGGTTTTTTTTTAAAAGGTTTTTCTCATTTTGTTCTGTGTAGGAATAAAAGTTGACTAATGAACACATGTAATTTCACATTTATTTATGACACTTTTAAAAGCAAGCTTTCATTGAGAAATATATACGTACTATGTTTACAATTTAACGGGGAACAGTTATTATTCACGTTTTGTGAAAATTTCCCAGTGTGATCGTTTGTGTGAGAAATATTAATGGTAAATAGAGAATATAAATGGGTATAAAAGGTTAATAAGGTAAATGCGAAGCAAACTTACCGGAACCGTAATGAAATGACAGATTTTCAGCTAAGATAAGGCATGTAATCAATAGTATCAACAATCCTAAAATTGGCACTAAATGTATTATTATTGACTAGACATTCGCTGAGTTTTTAATTATTTTGTTTGAAGTCGAACTGTAGCTAAAAATACATTCTAATACTCCAACCCATGCCTAGCCTCCCACAATCTTGCCCCACTTTACCCAACGACGTTTGCATACCTAATTGGTAACGCTTTATTGATTGATTACTCATGTGCTCCACTTTTGTCCATTTACAGGCGGGTTATCGCAATGGTCTACGGTTCGGATCTGGAGGTTCAGGATTTCGAGGGCAGTCCGGCAACAGCGCGCTACAACATCAACTCCTGGGTGGCACGGAACACGAAGAACCGCATCGAGAACATCATCTCCAGCGATATTCCGCAGAGCACCAGGATGATTCTGGCCAACGCGCTGTACTTTAAGGCCTTCTGGGAGACGGACTTTATCGAATCGGCCACCCGGCCAGATAACTTCTATCCGAACGGCGAGGGAACTGAGCCAGTGGTGAGGGTCCAGATGATGGCCACGGGAGGATCGTATCCCTACCACGAGGATCACGAGCTTGGCTGCAAGATCATTGGGTTGCCCTACCGGGGAAACCTGAGCACCATGTATATCATCCAGCCCTTTAAGTCGTCGGTGGTCGAACTTATGACACTACAGAAGCGTTTGACACCGGAGAAGGTGGAGGATTTGATCAGCAGGATGTACAGACGGCAGGCACTGGTGGCGTTCCCGAAGATGCATCTCACCGAGTCGGTGAATCTGAAGACAGTCATGCAGAAAATGGGTCTGGGCGGCATCTTCAGCACCGTGCAGAATGATCTCTCCCTGATCGCCACAAACGAGGTCTCCAGGACGAGTTCGCTGGGCGGAAATAGCCTGCAGAACCTGGAGGCCCAGCGAAGAGCCGGAGCGGGAGGGGCTCAATCCGATTTGGTTGTGGACGACATCGTCCACAAAGTCGACTTCACCGTTAACGAGCAGGGAACGGAGGCGGCGGCGTCTACAGTCACGTACCTCAAGAAGTCCGGACCAGATGTCCTCTTCCGCGGAGACACTCCATTCATGGTGCTAGTGCGCCACGATCCCACCAAACTGGTACTGTTCTACGGCCTTATAAATGAGCCACCAGCAGCCGTTTAATCCCAGGGATCTTAAATTATTAAGCGTTAGTTCCTAAGATAGTTGACTTTTTAGTTAGGAAGCCAAGAAATCATTTTAAATTATACGAAATAATAAATTAAACAATAATATGTATAGTAAAACTAGCCATGGTATATTTTTTTATTGGATGCACTGACCTTGCAAAAGTGGATTATACACTTAACTGATTTTGGAATTTATCGCATGGATTTAATCTTTCAATTCTTGTTTACTTAATTTGATTAGGCTCGCATTAATTACTAATCTAATTGTGTCACTTACAATACTAACTTTATATCAGGCTGATACTAACTTTTGAACTATGCGATTTCATTCTTTTTTGCGCGATCGTTTACCTGTTAAGGGTCTGTCCATAAATTACGTAAATGTTCTTCCGATTTTTGAGCTCCCTTCCACCATGTAATCAATTTGTTGAGCAAAAAATGGGTTTGCTTCGCAGGCGTAATCATTTGGCAGGAGCCACTGGGTGGCCTCCTGGTTGGCCGAGTTACCGTCGCACAAGGCTCCCACCAGGTGGTGCTGCAGCCCGTTCTTCTTGGCGAAGTAAAACACCTCCCTAACTCCATCCTTTATTTCGACCTTCCCCAACTTGCTGGTCTCTGGAGACATCTATGAAAAAATATAAATAATAAATAAAAATAATAAATAAGAAAATATAATATATATATAATAAATACAATACATAAATATTTAATAATAAAATAATATAATGTATATATATTAAATATATATATTAAATAAAAATAATAAATAATAAATAATAAATATTGAAATATAATAAATATATATAAATAAAAATAATAAATAATGAAATAATAATATATAAAATAATAAATTAATAACAAAACATTTTACATTTTACAAAAAATACTGCCTTTTTTCAAATTGCTTTACATTTGGCAGTAGATTTCACTGCACTGCCACGGGGCCGATATATCTACGATATACGATAAGCATCTCTAACAGCGCGCGGCCGGCAAAGGCAAAAGCAAAGACCGAAAAAAACATAAACAGAAATTTAAACTTACCATTTGGATGTGGACGAAGCGCATAAATTGCCCTTCGAGGGTGGCAATGGCCACCACCATGGCCTTCCAGCTTTCAAAACGCCAGGCGGATATTTTTTTGAAATGAAACTCATCGAAGACGACAAAAAGCGGGCGCGGGTTATTCAAAAGTGATTTAAACGGGCTGGTCATGAAGATGGAGCCCTTCTTAAGGTCCCCCTTGCGACCAGCGACGTAGGCGATTGCCGCCTGCATATTTATATTGGCGTTTTTAAACATATTAAGCTTCCGCAAATCCATTTCGATTGCACTCTTTCACTTTCCTATTGCTTTTTGAATTATTTTCCGCGTTGTTGCTGTACCAGCGTTGCCACACCGGGAATTAAAAACCGGTCGGAAGTAAGAAAAAAAACAAAAACAGAAATTTCGTTTGTTATACCCGTTACTCGTAGAGTAAAAGGGTATAATAGATTCGTCGGAAAGTGTACATATTCTTGATTAGGATCAGCCATGTCCGTCTGTCCGTATGAACGCTGAGATCTCGGAAACTATAAGAGCTAGGCTTTTCGGATTTGCCATGCAGATTCCAGAGCTTCTTGCGCAGCGCGTGTTTGTTTCAGCAGGGTGCCACTCCCACTCTAACGCCAAAAACTGTGGCTCCTACAGTTTTGATGGTAGAATAAAAATTTTAAATGAAATGTATTGTTCTCATCAATACCTATCGACTGACCCAAAAAAGTTTGCCACGCCCACTTAAACGCCCACAAACCGCCCACAAACCACAAAAATATCGTAAATATGAACGCGGATATCTCGGAAACTATCAAAGACAGAGAATTGGGATTTCAGATTTAGGTTTCGTAGCCTTGTACGCAGCGGAAGTTTGTTACGAGAATATGTCACGCCCACTCTAACGCCCACAAACTGCCTAAGCCTGTGGCACGTACAATTTTCGTACTAGAAAAAAGTGTTAACTGAAATGTAATAGTCTGTAATAGTCAATACCTATCGATTGACCCAAACGCCCATAACGCTTAAATCTGTCTGCCGCCCACATAACCATATATTGAGATAGCGGGTAGGTTGCCCGTTTCAATCTCTCTTTGCTGCTTGCATATCTTCATTTCTCTTTGGTCCCTTTAGCTGAGAAACGGGTACTTGATAATCGAGGTACTCGACTATAGCGTTCTTTCTGGTTTTTAAAATAATAACTTATTAAAAATTATAAAAATAAATTCCTTTCATACTGATGTGCAGAGCACAACGCGCAAGCACATTAGACCGCAATACTACCAATTTTTTCTTTGCTTGTTTGTTTTACAAGCCGAATTTTTCGCCAAACTAAAAAATGTCCTAGTTTCACTGCGAAACAATCTAATCTAATCTAATCCAATATTATATTAAGCTTAGTTGCTAAATTTAAAACTTACAATTTTAAAAAACTTAATTTATAGTAATCGCCTACTAAAATTTGACAATTATAGTTCCTAAAGTTGGTCGTGGCCACGAATGTTGCTGAAACAATAAAGAACTGTTGGCCATGAACGCGTGCAATTTTTGCCTCAGAAGCAGTCTTCGGAGGACAAAATGTATGTGTTCGAAATATAAAAATGTCAATGTACGGTAAACAAAATGAGAAAAGTGTCAAAATAAACGGCGGACAAAATATTCGAAATATTAAAAAGGCACAATAATCTTAATGATATCAATTCAGAGTAATATAAAAAATAATAGAAATTTTCCTTCGGAATAATAACTACAACAACACAATAATAATAATAACAAGAATATTAATAGCATGAATAATAATAATAATAACAATAATAATAATCTCCATAAACAATTGGAATTAAATTAACCCTTTCATGCCCACTGTTGCCTATAGGTAACATTGACTTTACATTTAAATATCGGTTACGACTCAACATTTTTGTGGACTTTTTTTTATGGGGGATTCCCCTTATTAACGTTCTTTCATTTTTCGTATTTTTTGCGAATGCAGTTGCAGCGTGTGCTGAGTTATCGATAACTAAAATTAGTGACAAAGATTACAAAAATAAGAACGTACAGTTCTTTAAAATAGGTAAGACTATGATAAAAGTATAAAGTTGGGCTTGAAAATTGTTTTATAATGAGTGTGGATTTTTTCAAAAGTTGATGTTGCCTACAGGCAACATTGGTCATAAGAGGTTCGCATGTAATAATTTCTTTTTGTTCATTTAGGCATGCGTCCGAAGGGATTAAACGAATTGGAAATTCAAAAAATTTGCGAATTTGATTGGGAAGATTCAAACGACGAAGATGAAAATGAAGAGCCGGAGAATAAAATGGATGTTTTGGAGGCATTCATAGACGAAAGTCTGCAGGACATAATACAGCAAGGTGGAAATATTGAAGATGAGCTTATGAACAGCACCGTGCTTAATTCGATGCAAAGCGACTTTGCTGAAACAGTCCAACAAATTTATGAAAAAATCGATTTGAATAGTTTGAGATGGAGACATGCCTCAAAAGGAAATGAGATAGACACAGAATGGAAAAAACATGTGACTGCTGGCATCATAAAAAGTCCCGTTAAATATTTCAATTCATTTTTTGATGATGACATTTTTAAAAGATATGCATGGAAACTAATAAGTACGCATTTCAAGATAGGGGAGTGGGGCTGAAAGAAAAATTTAATGAAATATAACAAGAGGAATATTAAAGCTGTGATGAACAGATGATTTCCTTCAAAGGTAAAAGAGTTTAACTTATTTTGCAATATATGAGTATTTAATTTAATTTATATTTCAGGTCATCATAGTTTAAACTTTAAAGCAGTATCTCCCTAAAAAGCCGCGCAAGTGGGGCCTTAAAATGTTTCCTAGAGCTGGGGTGTCTGGCATTATATATGATTTTTGCCTTTACGTTGGAGACGGAACTTGTAAGTCTTATGGACTTGGATTGTCTTCAGATATTGTTTTGCATGTAGCTTCAAACATTCCTGACAATCAAAATTGTAAACTATTTTTTGATAACTGGTTTACTTCAGTAAGCCTAATGATAGCATTAAAGGAAAGGGGTATCTTAGCAGTTTGCACAATTCGCAATAACCGTCTAAAAAATTGCCATCTTCTTAATGATAAACAGTTAGCTGGCAAAGGCAGGGGATCTTTTGTCATAAAGGTCGAAGCAACTTATAACTTGATCTCGTGTCGCTGGTATGATAATAAATGTGTTCAGCTTATTTCAAATTATATTGCTGATACACCCGTTTCTGAGAGCATGCGTTGGTGCCGCAAAGAGAAAATCATGGTTAAAATACCTCATCCTGCTATTGTAGATAGGTATAACAGAAACATGGGTGGTGTTGATCTATCAGATATTGTATTAGAATTGTACAAAGTAAATCATCGCTCAAAAAAATGGTACATGCGAATCGGTTATTGGTGTATAAATGTGACAGTGGTGAACAGCTGGCTACTATACCGCCGAGATCATAAGCAATTATTTGAGAGAACAAAACATATGCCACGTATAAGTTTTCAACTTGATATTGCCAAAGAGCTACTTAATGCTAATGTGGTTCAATCCCGAAAAAGAGGTCGGCCTGCATTTGCTTTATTAAATTTTAACTCTCCAAGCTCATCAATCGGTATTGCAGAGCAAAGTTCTCCAGCTTCTTCCAAAGGGATTGATTCACCAAAATCTTCATTTCCAAATGACTCCAGCAAAGGCAATAAGATACGACCAAATTGGTCACTGGGTTCAGTGGGAATCAAAAGGTAGATGTAGAATGTGTACTACAGGCTTTCCCAGGTCAAAATGTTCAAAATGTAATATCCATTTGTGCTCAAACCCAAATAAAAATTGTTTTTTACTGTATCATACAAATACTAACACCGAAAAATAAAGATTGTTAACAAAAATCTCATAATTGTATTTACTTTTAAAGGTAATATTCAGTACCAGTCCAAACTTCATAGAAGACAGACGTGCTACAGAGATCACCTCGCCAAAACCAACAGTTAACAACAGCAAATCAATCCAAATTTTCAAAAAACAAATAAAAGCACAAAGCATACTTCACCAAAAATCCAAAAACAAAAAACCCTAACAGAACCGTTACAAAGCAAGTGCACCGGGCAGCAGCCCAAGTGAACAAGCAATGCGACCACCGGACCTAAGTAACCCAGTACTATGGGATAAAAATGCATTAATTGAACCTAAATACATCATAATTTCTCGCAAAGATAACCAATCTTTTGAAAATGTGTCTCCCTTTATTATCAAGAAAGTAATTGATTTCCAATGCGGTGGTGAAGTTGAATCGGTCAAAAAAACCAGAGACGGAAAGCTATTAGTGAAAACCAAAGGCTTAATCCAAGCACAAAGACTGCTCAGGCTTACCCAATTCCACAACTTCCTTGTCAGCTCATCCGAACACAAAACACTCAACACTTTAAAAGGAGTTATATACTCTAACGATCTACGTAACATAGAAAAAGAAGACATACTAAAAGAACTAAGCTCGCAAAAAGTAATTGAAGTAGAAAAGATCTTTCAATTCAAGAACAACCTCCTACAGGAATCACCTCCTACAGGAATCTGGTCTGACAATCTTAACAATAATGATAGGATATGAACGTGTCCATGTACGTCCTCATATACCTAGACCTCTCAAATGCCGAAACTGCCAAAGATTTGGACACCCACTCAAATACTGCAAAAGCCCAAAAGTATGCAACAATTGTTCGGAACCCCACACCCCAGACGACGAAAATTGTACCAATCCAAAGTCCTGCTCAAATTGTAAACACAACGCCAACATTCAAAACAATTACTCCCCACTCGACAAACAATGCCCAACATTCATCAAACAGAAAGAAATCGTAGCCATTAAAACAATAGAAAGAGTTGATTTCAAAACCGCACTATGCATTTACGATCAACGCCACACACATCAACCAACAACTTACTCTAGAACCCTCCAACAACAACCTAAACCTACAACATCAATGCAAACAACAAACAACACTCCGTCAACCTCAACTAACACTGAAACACAGCCAAATAGGAAAATCACCAACTATGACGACCTCCGCTCACACCCAAATAAACAGGAAATCCCACAACAATCGGCCTTTACATCAGAAGAAGACATGGACACAACTGACTCCACTAATCGCAACCAAAATAGAAGACTCATCCCTGAAACAGACCGTAAGCTCAGATCCCAAACAAAAGACAAGTCCAACCTCCCCACTAAACCACTTAAAGCTAAAGACAAATCTGAGAAAACATGTATCCCCAACACCAACCTCATAAGCAAACTACCTAAATAATCTAATTATAACTTATTAGATAATAAGTAAGCAAAACACTAACCTAACTTTAAAACTTATTTAAACTTTAAATCTTAAAGCCAATGCTTAAAATTATACAATGGAATATACACGGTTACAGAAACAA